AAGATGGATGGATGGATGGATGTTTGTTTGAAGGTATCTCCAGAACGGCTGAACGGATCCGGCTGAAATTTGGCATAGACGTAGAACATAGTCTGGAAGAACATATACGCTACTAAGCTTTTTTTTTTAATACCGTGTGAACGAAGTCGCGTGCAACAGCTTGTTAATTCATAAATTCACTCGAAGTTGTTCCAATGTTCTAGTTACATACAGAAGTCTGTAATATCTGCCAATCTTTCTGGGAAATTGGCGTTGTCTTGAAAGGACTTATTTTATTCTTTCAGATAAACACCAGCTCGGGTGTCAAAGAAGATATGGAACATGAATCGATAGGCAGTCGATCACTGTATTGCAACGATATTGCCATCCCGTTCATTCTCTTTGTATAAAGAGAGATACCAAAAATGTTCTTTTCCATGTGTTACTGTGGTTTTAATCCGCATAGACACTGGTATTGATAATTATCGTTTTCTCTGTTTTTCTCAAAGAGAATGTAAGGGACGTCAATATGGGTCAATACGAGTGTCTGCAGTCGAAACCCATAGTTACGACAGTCAGTCTTGAAAGTAGAAATGGGGGGGATTTAAAAAAGACTTGGAATTTTGAAGCAAAAAACGTGATTTGAACGTTACCAAGAATGTTGACAATGAAGTGAAAGAATCGGCAACAACATTTTTGATTTGGCCACTTTTTAGTGGCCCATTGGCCATTTGGCTAATATTTCTTTCCCTTTTCCTCTTGTTTCTTCGTCCATTCTCCGTTTATATCTTTTGGATCGCGCACAGACAAAATGTTTATTTACTTTTTAAACAATCTGTGGTTTTTCGACTACCCTCAAATCAATCGCGTTGTTTTTTTACCTAAGTTGGTGATTGAATCTTATAATAGGTGCGACTCAAACACCAAATATAAAATAGTGTTTTTTCGCTAAACACTACGAATAAGTTTTATTTTAGTACGTAAGTGATTATTTATTTATTTATATATTTATATATTATGCGTAAATTCACAGATAAACATTCTCTTAATAGTATTGTAGGAGTATTACGTGATAGTAAAAAATAGATACGCATGCTATGTACTGTTACTCATCGATGACACCGATATAACTTAATTAACAACATTTACAAAACTCTAAAATAATTCTTTGACTCAAATATTTTATTTCAACAACAGGTGGTGCAAACGGGAATGTTGGCTTGGATAGTTCATGAACTCGACGCCTGGCGATATTTTTGCTATGCCTAAAAAGCGAAAATAGTAAGTCTGTGATCTAGACTACAATTAAATTACCAACATTTATAAAACTCTACTATAATTTTTTGACTCTTATATATTATGTGAACAACAGGTGGTGCAAACGGGAATGTTGGCTTGGATAGTTCATGAACTCGGCGCTTGGCGATATTTTTGCTATGCCTAAAAAGCGAAAATAGTAAGTCTGTGATCTAGACTACAATTAAATTACCAACATTTATAAAACTCTAATATAATTTTTTGACTCTTATATATTATGTGAACAACAGGTGGTGCAAACGGGAATGTTGGCTTGGATAGTTCATGAACTCGGCGCATGGCGATATTTTTGCTATGCCTAAAAAGCGAAAATAGTAAGTCTGTGATCTAGACTACAATTAAATTACCAACATTTATAAAACTCTACTATAATTCTTTGACTCTAATATATTATGTGAACAACAGGTGGTGCAAACGGGAATTTTGGCTTGGATAGTTCATGAACTCGGCGCTTGGCGATATTTTTGCTATGCCTAAAAAGCGAAAATAGTAAGTCTGT